TCTTGAAGATTTTGGCAAATGAAATTTGTACCTTCACCAAAGCGGATTGCTATTTTTAAAACGCTTTCTTTGGCGATAACAGAAAAGGATGCATCTACAATTTCTTATATGATTTTTAGTGTTGTAAACTCTTGAAAGATGACATGCTTTGGTAATTATCAAGCTTTTAGACAATACAACATTATTTTTTCCTTATAAAAATGTTGGCTGTGACTGTGAGATGATTGAAATAAGTATACATTCAAAACTGATTGTATGCTTGAAATACAAATACAATGAGTGGCTTGTTTTTAATGTTCTGGTGTTGCATAAAACATAGCATTCCTTATATCTTGAAAGATACATACTAAAAAAAAAGAAACCCAAAATAAGAAGAAAAGCAGAATGCCATGCAAAATAGCAGTTACAAATTCAGAAAATGTACATATTTGGGCGGTTTAGTTTTACAACGGAAACATTTAAAAAAAAAAAAAAAAAAAAAAAAATAGAAAGGCTCAAGAGGACGGACGGACAGACAGACATATATCAACAGAGAGAATGAAAGAAAGAATCTGTTTTGATCTAAAAAGAAAAAACAAGTGTGTAAGTAATTAATTGTTCTTAGCAAGAAGCACTCTCGGGAGATGGAAAGCTTCCCCTTGATTTCCATTGAGCAGCCTCTTCTCTAAGAAACAAGCTGTGAGTTGCCTGAGCAGCCTCTCCAGATATGAATGAAGGCAGCTTCTTTTATTATTATTATTATTATTTGCCTCCTCTGGATTGGTCGACAATATCATTGCGTTCACTGCATCCGCCAGGTTCTCTCTCTGTGAATCCTCCACAAGATATCCCAACCCCCCTGATTTCTTTGGATCCTCGTACGCCAATAAACCCGCACAGTCCTACACATTTTATATACAACAAAAGACATAAATACCCTCTCTCCTCATCCTCATCTGCAAACACTAATTAATTTACTATCAAGGTGATGGGAGTAACTAATTAATCACCTTAACAAGATCTTCATACTCTTTCAACTTGTAAAACTTCTCAAAATGACTCCTTCCATACTCCACAGCTTCCTCTAGATGCCCAACCTAATAAAAACCAAACAGATTTTTAGACAATTGACATAGATAGATAAGTCTTTAAAGTTGGAAATTTTATTTTACCCGAACTAGTTCAATGAACTTTTGACACTGTAGCATAAGACAAATGGCTGATGTATCATCCTGCACACATTTCTACCATATGCTTAATTTTCTTGTATGAATGAATTTGAATATGATTAAGCAACAGAAAAATCATTACCTCAACTGTCTCAGGGTACCACTCACGGAGTTTAGCAAATGCATCATCAATTTGACCATCTTTGATTAGCTTCAAAAAATATTAATATTAGTCAAGAAAGGAACATAATTTAAAGAAAAAAAAGCTACAAAGCCATCAATCAATGTTGTATTAAAAAAAAGTCATATTATAAGCATATACCATGTGATCCATTTCATACCTTTCTCAGAATTTTTCTGTGGGTTAATGCATAGGCGCCATACTCATTGAAGCCATTATCATGAACACCAGAGGTAATAGGAGGAATACAAGTTTGGCTAGCCTCATCCAACACATTCAGAGTTTCCTCATACCCATAATGTTGTAGGTAGGAACGAATAATTCTGATAACCAAATTAGTTTACATCATCATATTACTATTATGCATACAAATATTATAGATATACAAAACTATCTAAGAAACTGAACACCAGATTATCCATTAAACTTCCAATCCGATATTTAAATTTGATAAGGATCAGACTTAAACTAAATCCAATATTTGAACATACCCATAACCGGCTGCCTGTGGTATAAGTATTCTTTCAATAACTGCCTGTTGCTTTGCCCTTAATGTTGCTTCATATGCCTGTTCACCAATATAAACACCAAATCATGTAATATTGCAGCACATAAAAACTATCTAATATATAACCATTGCAGAAAGCTATCTGTAAAAACCAAACACAACAATAGAACTTGAAAAATGATATGTTACCTTGAGGTCAAAAATAAAGGGATCTTTCCCAAAGTTCACAATCACCCTGAAATAAAATAATACCATACAAAAGAACATCAAATTTTGTGGATATTAGGACACTGGCAAAATATCTCAACGACTCAATAAGCTTAAAACAAAAACAAATCATCCAATGAAATCCCAATACATATAACCAAACCATAAATTCATTTATTCAGGTAGCAGAACTCAAACTTATTTTAAAATTTAAATGAATATATATATCCAAAAAAAATGATAGCCCAAATTATAGATAAAGTATGATGAAAATTTGAACATTGAAAAGAAAGAACAAACTTACTCCTCATATTGACTATGAACAGCAATTGTAGGATATAAGCGACCTTTTACATCTTTCTCTACTGTTCCAACCACTTGACCATTTTTTCTGGCATCAGAAACAAATTACTATAAAATGTCTGAAAGAAGAACTATTGGAGAAGCAAATATAAGAAACTCAGTCAGTTCAGTTATTAAGAACTTAAGTAAGAATGTTACGTGAAGAAGAACTCGTGTGAGGTATAGTTTATACCACCACCAACCACATCACCAGTGGAATAAGTTGGGCCAAAAGCCTCTCCTTTTCCATGTCCACGATAAAGCAGCCCATCATCCCCATGGTATCCAAAACTGTTTGCTTCCCATCTGTCACAAACAACAAAGCCTTAATAAGTACACAATGCTCTAACAGAAAGAAATGAGAAACTAGGATTCCAAAATTAACATATGTAGCTTCCAGCAAGAATAATGGATGCGGAGCAACAAGATCAATTTGGGTAGAGGGATAGTTAAGCATTATGTTTTATGTTTCTGTTTTCAATTCTTTTTCAGTTTGATATTGAAGGGTGAGAGCAAGTGGATAAATAAGGTAGAGAGACGTATTGGGAGTTGTCATGGTTTTTATATTGAAGGATTTTCTTCTTTTCATCACATATGTCTTCTCATTTCATCTTCTACTCCGTGGAGTAGATAGAACCCCCTTGAAAATAGAAGAAAGCCTCATGTTGCAATACAGACCTACCCTCATTTGCAACATGATGAGAATTCTTATGAAAATAAAGACTGTGGTTTGAAGTTGAAGAATCATCACTATAGCGGTTACAGATTTTAATGCATCAAGCATAATTTACAAGTATCTAGCGCATATTAACTAACAAAGTGTCGATTATTTTGGATTAGATGAATACGCATCAAGGATGATCGGTTATTGCATACATACCCAGGTTGTCTGCGCATATGGAAACCCTCGGTAGTGAATCCAATTGCAATTTGGCCTTTGGCGCCAGCATTCTTGACATAAATCTCAAAGTAATAGAGAAGACGCTTGACAGGGGCGGGGCAATTGGCCTGAACAACACCCACATCGTGGCCATGTAAGTTCACGGTCGGGTACTGAACCGATAGCTTATTTGGCAATACAATCGAGAACCCGCCCGAACTGTTCAGGGTATCAAGCTCCGTTGGAACAGGCTCCTCCTCTTCTTCTAGTTCTTCGCATTCATTATCTAAATTCACCATTTCAACATCTTTTGCATATGAAACAGCTGCCTTCTTGGACTTCGATCTCCATAACTCCAAGAAATACGAACCTACGATGTCTTTTTCTTCTCGTCCGCCTTCGAAATCATTCACCATTTTCTCAGTCTTCGAACTAAGATTCAAGAACACACATGTATGAACGCACAAAACCCTAATGAAAGAGAAATCTTCTGATCAAGTTTGAAACCCTAAAAGTGGAAGATGTGTCTTACACTGAAAAAAAAAAAAAGGAATAGATCAAGAACGGAGTTTGATATAGTTTCAATATATTGTTATACGAGTATCGGCTCTCCTCCTATATATTGTTCTCGTAGAGTGAAATACAGAAAGTCTGTCTGTATTGCGTATGAGTTTAGCGTCTCTAGGAACGAAGCAATGGAAATGATCTTCGCTTGCTCGCCTGTAGGGGATTAAAACCAATTTTCATATTAACTTTTTGCATTATTAATAAATATGATATAGATTTTTAAGGAAAAATAAAGGAAAATTAAGTAATTTAACCACATTAAAGTATTTAAAGAAAATAATAAAAATAATCATTTAGTTAGGATTGGGACCAGGAAAATACATTGTTTTAACAAATTTCAAAACAACATTACAAATTTCTGACTACAATTTCGGATTATGAAAAAAAAAAAAAAAAAAAAAAAAAACCTTCAAAGTTTTGAGGAAATAAAGTTGTTTTTACTTAAATTTAACAAAAAACTAAACAAAGATAATAATGTCAATTATATATAATAGTAGTGTATAAAATTAAACTTTTTATTGAAAAACAATGGCATTAAACATTTCAAAATGTAATATTCTGAGTCCAAAAAGATAATAAAAAAAAAAAAAAAAAAAAAAAAAAATCTTTGAAAAAAATACTCATCATATGAACGGTCCGAAATGAAAACACACTGAAAAAACTAGTTATATTAAAAAACGAAAAAATATATATTATTTTCTTTAAAAACCCCACTTACGATAGTTAGATTACTTAATTTTCCAAAAATAAATATCTTGATGTTATAAAACCTTTTCAGTTATGTATTTAACTTAGACAAAATTGCAAAAATGGTTCGTGTGGTTGGCAAAATTATGTAGTTTTGGTCCAAAACGAAATGTTGGTGCACCACTGATCTATTTTTAAATACCTTGTGTGGTTTTAGCCCTTATGGTTGTATTTTCTTGTGTTTTTGGTCCACATGCCACCTAAAATGACTAATATGCCCCTTAAATAATTATATTTTAATTTCTTTTATTTATTTTCTTATTCTTATAATAAAATGAAAACAAAAACAAAATAAATCCACCACTTACACACACATACTATCTCTCTCTCTCTCTAAACAAAAGGAAACGTGTTCTTCCTTAAATAAAGCTGTCAAGTGAAACACCCAAACACCCTAAAATTTTTGAGGTTGTTCTTCATTCATCTTTGATCACCTGAAAGAACACACACCATTAGAGTGGTTGATTACCTGTGAAATCAAATAAAATGGCACCCTTTTCCCCATTTCCATTGCTATTAATTAAAACAAAGTTGGAAAAAAAAATTCTTACCTTTTTTCCTTGATTTTCGATATGTTTCTTTGTCATCTGTCATGAACATCGGCCGTAGTGGTGCTTCGGTGAGCCATTGAGACAACAACCTTACCTCTCGCATATATCTTCTTCTCCCGTCAAAGCAAACGCCACCGAACCACGTGTGACTTCGTGCTTCTCGTCTGAACTCTTTTCTGGCCTCCTTCCCATTGAAACCCCTAGCCACACCGAGAAGCGGCGATTTCTCTTCCCAGTGAACGATAAGAGGCAACAACCTCATGTTTTGCTCGCCCCTACTTGTCAATTCGGCCACTGGACCATCGATCGACATTGGGGCTGTTCCCATTCGTATTTCTTTTTCTCCATCGGACGAGGATCGAACTCCCCTTCCTCCCAATCGATTCTGCCTCCGTTCTTCTCGTCGTGTTCCATTCATCCGCACTCGTTCATTTGAGTCCGGTGATTTCTTCATGGAGATGGACGTGCTTGCAGGTAGTGATGGAAAATAGTGGTGGGACTCGTTCATTTGTGTGTGTGTGTGTGTTTTTAAGAAGACGAAGTTAAAGAACCCAGATAAAGATTTAGTTAGAGAGAGAAATAGAGATATGTGTCTGTGTGTAAGAGAGAGTGAACAGGATGAGGGTGAGTTTTTTTTTTTTTTTTTTTTTTGAATAAAAATAGATAATAAAAAAATGGAAAAACAAATTATAAGGGTATAATGGTCTTTTCAAGTAGATAGGACCAAAAACAATAGAAATATCCAATTTTGGACCAGTGGTGCACCAACATTTTGTTTTGGACCAAAAATACAAAATTTTGCCAACCATAGGGACCATTTTTGCAATTTTGTCTTTAACTTAAGATATAAAACCTTTTAATACTATATTGCTTTAAAAAATAATGAATTTCATTTTCAACGGACTTTGTTTTAAAAGAGAACAAACGAATTGAATCAAGTTGTGGAATAAAAAGATTAACTACGTTTATTGCAAAAAATATATCAAAGTTTCTAAAATAAAAACGTTTTGTATTTCGATGGAAAAACTTTTTTCTAAGTATTTTTAAAACATTGATGTAATAATTTGTATATGATTTTTCTACTTCTACTCTATTTACTTTATATTTAAAAAAGATGGCAAACTTAAGCGATTGGTTATGAGTTATATACTTTAAGTTTATAGACACAATAAAAAAAGACATAAATCGATCGGTTTAGAAAGATACACTAGACAAATGACTGTGTGTTGCGTAAGTATAAAATTACCAAATTAAAATAGGGACAAAAAAATTTATATCGAAAGTAACTAAATCTTTGTTATTAATAGTTAAATGATAATTTTTAATCATTGTTATTAACAATTAAATAAAATATTTATAATAAATCTAAAAATAATTTTAAATATTATCATTATTTTGAATTATTTTAAAAGATATAAGGTTGAAACTTCGAGTTGCACTTGTATAAAATTATGTAGTTAAAATATAAAGAAATTTAAGTTATTATTATTCATTGAATAATAATTTCATACTAAATTAAAAAACGTATCTTAAATATTATCATTATGTTGAACATATAATAAAAGATTCATCTATTATAAGGTTGGAACTTAAAATTGTACTAGTTGTATAACTCTGCTAACTCCACTAAATACTCGATAAGTTACTCGAACTCGACCTCCAACCAAAGCGAGTTTGGTCAACTCAACTAAAAGACTCATATATTAAATCAAACTCTAAACGGTTCAACTAAATATACCTAGTTGTATAAGTTTTTTTACTGAAAACCCAACTTGAACCAAAAAAATCTTATCATAAATCATTTTTGAAAATTTGAAACTTAACAACAAAGTCAATATAACTAAAAAATACTCTCGACATCCAATAAAGACAAGAACAAAGAAAATTCTCATGACTTCGTCCTTTTAGTAATTTCATAGTCTTTTCTATTTATAAAAGATGAGATATTATCCTATTTACATTTACATGTGGGATAAAACCATTTTAATCAAACTTCTTTCTTTATTTGTAAATAATTTTATTTTGTTAAATAACATATTAATAAACTAACTAAATAAAAGTTATCCAAAAAAATTTATTGTTCAATAATTCTATTTTTTTAATAATCTTGTAACTTGGTATAAAAAAAAAAGAAGATTTTATTAAATAACTTTTTGTTAAATCTCAAAATCATAAATACATTAAAGTTACGTAATATAAAATGTTTATTTATATGTATTTTTATGATTCAAAACTTCGTTATAAAATGAGTTCATTCTATAAAATATAATTGAGTATATATTTGCTGCTTTATGATTCAAATGGATTTTCCAAACAATTATAATTGTACGTTTAGGTGAGTGTTATTTTTTTTTATTTAATATTACTTAACTAATTTACAATATTGTTATAGATAATTTTTAAAAATCATGAAAGTTTCAAATGAATATGATAAAATAAAAAAATATTTTATTTATAATATAGTATGATATAATGAGTTTAAAATGAATTATAAATCTGAAGAATATACTTGAGTCAAACTATGTAGTTTGGATATATATATATATATATATATATATATATATATATATATATATATATATATATATATATATATATATATATATATATATATATATATATATATATTCTAACCTTAACTCTATTTGATATAAAACTCAAAAACTGCTTCTAGCAAAATTTATTTTTGATTTATTTTATTGTTTTTTAAGATCAATCACAATAAGAGTTTATATCTTTACTATCTTATAAAACAAATCCCACTATTTCTAAAAATAGATTGAATAAAATAATAATATTTTTTTAAGACGTCCAAATCATTAAGCTAATTGTACAACTAATCATTAATAAAATAATATTAAAAATTAAACAAACTCCTAAAAATCTTCTCTTCCAAGGTTTTGACCATATCTTTTTTTCATCCAAATAAATACTCAACATCCTATAATTTGGTCATTTCATTAGTTTTCTTTATTTTTAATATGACATTTTTGCTAAAACAAACTAATGATTGAATTGAAAATAATCATTCTCCATCGAAAAGAAATTCATTGTCGAAACAAACTATTTGTCGACCGCCGCTTTGCGCGGGTAAACGGCTAGTATATATATATATATATATATATATATATATATATATATATATATATATATATATATATATATATATATATATATCTTTACTACTTATAAAAGAAATCTAACTATTTCTATAAATAGATTGAATATAATAATATTATTTTTTTAAGACGTCCAAACTATTAAGCTTGAAGTACAACCCATTTATAATATAATAATATTAAAACTTTAACCCTATCATTTATCCCCTAAAAATCTGGTATCAAATTAATAGAATAATTCATTTGCAAATTGAACCCGTCAATCTCAACACTTCAGCCATTTGAAGCGGTCAATATCAACAATTTATAGAGGATCTCTTCTCTCACATTGGTAACAAGTCATCTCATAATATTTATCTTCGTAATCTCTTCAAAGTAAGAAATATACGCACACTCTCTCGAAGAACCATAACCAGTAACCAAGACAGTATAACCACCACCACCACAGCCGCTCTGCTTCCTTCCGCCTTCAACTAATCACTATCACGACTACTGCCCTTCCTCTCACCCACGACATGAACTTTCTTTTGGAACATAACATTTTTTTTTAAAAAAAATATCGTTGAAAAAAGCTATTTGTCCCCGCCGCTGTGCGCGGGTAACGGCTAGTATATATATATATATATATATATATATATATATATATATATATATAATATATATATATATATATATATATATATATATATATATATTCCATTTTAAAAAAGCTCTATGAAACTTTTTCACTCAAACTTTTCCAAGAAAGCTTTAACTAGCAAGTACATAGAACCTTTTCAACCATTGTAGGGAGATCTAAATATATTTGATCAATTATAATTAGCTAATTAATATAAACAAAACAAAAAAAAAACATTATAAATATGTTTAGTATGTCAAAGTATAAAGAATAACTCTTTTACTGTAGGGGTGGGTGAAAAAACTGACAATGATATGATTCATACCAAAAAAAATATATAAAAAAAACAGTAGATGCTCTAACAACACTTTAGAAACTTTTACATATCTAGGCAAAGCTTATTTACAAAAATTTATGATTTTTGTACTTATAACTTATTTTATTTTGTGAAATAATGAGTTTTTAATAAGGAGTATGTCATTTATCACTTTTTGACTTATTAAAAGTTCTCAACAGCTATAAATTATTTTTTACCCAAACATTTTTTTAGTATCAAACGGATAATAAATCAAAAACTCCTTTTTTAAGTTTTTCAAACACCCATATACCATATTAATGTTATGTAATATGTGGTCAACGTAATTTTTGACTTTTCACTTTATTATCAACTTTAGACCCCTAGACATATCTTCTGTCTACATACTCTACACCTTCAACTAATTTAATGCCACGTTTTTTTAGTATATATTTTCAAAATTTTTATGCAATTCCTACCAACATAATTATTATCTTGTCATACAAACAACATATCCTTCATAATTGGTCAAAAAAGAAAAACATATAGAATCATACATTACTAAAACTTAAAGTATTAAACACTTTACAAAAGCAAATAACTTGAATTTGAAGTGATCGTGTTTAAATTCACATAGGCTTATGTATTTGTGGCCACGTCATTACTTACCGATTCCTTCTCCTTTGTGAAGCATATTTATCATTTTTAACATTTCACTTCAACGTGTCAATATATAATTAGTTATAAAAGCATCTATAATGATGAGTTTAATGGGAGAATTGAATCATTTAGTTAATGAAACTTTATAATTATGAGATGTCACATTGACATTCAATAGATTTGGAGTTCACAGTCATTGAACTTTTCAATGAAAAAAAAATTAAATATATATTATAAAATACTTTTTTAGTAATATTCTATTGAACTTTGTAGAGTTCACTACATTATAGAAAAATAAATAAATAATAAAATTATATTGATTGCAAAAATATGATATGACAATCCATTGAACTCTATAAAATTTAAAATGTTCTAAATCGATAACCTATCAAATATCTACTGTATGTTTTGACCTGATCCATATTAAAACACAATCTAGAGTAAACTTTCTAGATTTATAATTTACGAAGTAGATTTATAATTTACAAAGTAGGGATATGGCCCAAAACATCTTTATTGAAATAATAATTTTGTAATTTCTGTTTTGTTCCGTCTCTTAAATTTCAACTTAGAAAACCCATAATAATATCCGTACTAATATCATCATTTAAGCACCCATCCATACTATCTGTAATAAGTATCATCATTTAAGCACCAATCCGTACTAATATCCCCAATTATCGAGAAAAATTTTCAATTATGAAAATGACAGATGATATCTGCAAAAATTGCCAAAAAAAGTAAAGGATAAAAAATCAAAAAAAAAAAAAATCGTATATCTAATCTATAAAAAAATTTCTCAATTTGTAATATTTCAAAATCATATGTAACATCCCAAATTTTCATAAAAATTTTAAACTTTTAATTTCATAACATCAACCATAGAAAATACAAAAATCCTAATACATATCCATGTTATTTTGAAACTCGGAGTACAAAGAGCTAAATGTGAAAACATCGAAGAATACATGTCTCGTCATCAAGTCGGGTCATTGCCCTTATCAATAGAAGTACCTGAAACATTCAAATAAATTGTAAGCACAAGCTTAGTGAGCTTCCCAATCACACAAATTATATAATCACATATTGTCATGCTCATACATATACATACATATTGTTATGGACTCCCTCCATGGTCATCAATGGAATGTCATGGGTTACCCCCATGGTCATCAATGGAATGTCATGAGTTCTAGCCCAAAACCTCAAAATATAGAGAAATGAATAATATCTGGACTAAGCGTTACATCATAATTCTGAAAATCAAAAACTGCTTGTAATATTATCATGTTGTCAATTTTTTTTTTCTTTTTTTCTTTTTTAAGAGCAATCACAATAAAAGTTTTTTTGTTTTTTTTTTTAAATTCCATTTTAAGATCCATACTATCCCCATTACAAAATCCTTATTGAAAAGTTAAAACCCATAATGACTAATTACCAAGGAGTTCATGTCTCTTTAAATAAATTACAAATGAAATCATGAAGAATGTGATTTTCTTTACTAAATAAGATATTCTACCATTTAATACCACTTAAAAGATCCACCAAGGTACATGGCTAATACATTAAAAATTAAAGTTGTTAACCGATATAACATAAGTGATTAACCAATTGTTTTTGTTCATATCACTTGTTCTCTTTTTTATGGAATTTCCATACTGTTGACATGATTCCGCTGCTCTTAGCATTCATGCATTTCTGAACCTTTTTCACCTGCAAAATCATCAAAACCTCATAAGAACTCTAACTTATATTATTTTCTTTCAACTATTTATTCATGATTTAAGCCATGTAACTATAAATGATATTATAATGTAAATCCTTAACTCATACCAACAACTAGTGCAACAACCACCTTATAATAACACATAAAATTATGTTCACTTCTAGAAAAATGTGGAGTTTTCAACAAAAATTTCCTTAGACCAGAAGTTTCTCGTTATTTTCTACTCATTACCAAGGAACTTCCAATGAAGACGTCTTTCTGGCATTTCCTTAGAAGTTCATCGGTAATAAGAAGGAAATATTGATGAATTCTTTGGTAGTTTTTTTTATTACTGTTTTATTATTATAAAGAAATCATATTATTTTTTTCAAGTGTGCCAAAGAGCTTCACATTTACGTTAGAAGTGTTTCCCTTAAATTGGTTCCTAGTAAGTATCTCAAAACTTCGAAGGATTTCCTAGGAAATTTTCGAACCAAGGTCGCTCACCAAACATGTTAAACTTTTACCAATTATCCTGGGAATAAAATTTCTTACCCTTTTGATGGGTTCAAGCTTTTCAATCTTGAGAGTCTTCAAACTCTCTGATCTTTCTTTCAGATACAATTTCATCTGTTGGTTGTCCATATGTTCAATCATAGTGGTCTGCCAAAAACACATATTACAATACAAATATTGATTGTAGTATATATAATACAACATATATATATATATATATATATATATATATATATATATATATATATATATATATATATATATATATATATATATAAAATCCATTAATACAGTCGTACCCATCTTGTATGCTCTTTGATGAGTTCTGTAATGGCTGCTTCTTCTTCGTCTGCAACTTTCTTTTTTTCCTGCCATGTCAATTTTTTGACTTCGACTTTTGTCTTAAGCTTATCAGCTTTAGTATATGACATTTGTTGCATCACATTCATATACTCCTTACTTCTTTACGTATTACATATATATAATACTTATATATAACCTGACCCTTTTGTGAGAGCAATTTAAACATGTTACATGTTATGGAATGAAAAATAATAATAACAAATATATAATCGACCGTCATATAAAAGTCATGTGACATGCATATAAGAACAAACCTAAAAAAAACGTTTATTTTCGCAAAGGGATAACTCTTTAACAGTTAATATGTCTAATGATTGGAACAATAATTCCTATTTGTGTTTTCTCGTGTAGAAACATAAAGGATACTATTACGAGTACTCTTCTTTTACTTTTGTACCCCTTTTTTATTTAAAATTTCGCATGGGACTCGTTTATGATTTCCATCTCCATTTAAATCAATCAAACTATTTAATTCATTCAATCACTTAATAAAATAAACTATTATTAAAATTAAATTAAAAAAATAATTGGAAAAGTTTTATACACAGATTATTTAAACATTCAATATTCATATTTGGTGGCTTTTTTTCTATATCAAATGATTATATATTTTCCCTATTCATAGTTGGGACTCCATAAATCCTCTTTAATTGCTCCTTGTGGGAGAATTTTCTCCGGAAATCTCGTCAGGGACTAGGTTTGCCCGTTTTGCGGAGCTCTAACCTGGGGTGCAAGTTTAAAAGTATGTGTAGGCTCCGTTAACTCATTTGTCGTTTCCAAAAAAAATTATTATATAAATGCAATGGTATTTAATTATCATCGTACAACGAGTGAGATGACAAATGGGCAACAAGCTGCGTCGCTAAGCCTTTTTGTATGGTAAAACTAATTTTTTGAAAACTACATCCATAGATTTAGGGGATATAATATTGTTATACATGATCTATTGTACTCTATTAAGAAGTTTCACCGTATCCGACGCGAGGAAACCAAACATATCAAACGCAAATAGTATGAACACATGTTGATTTTCCATGCATGATTTCTCATGTTTGGTGATTTTGTTTGTAGCAGCTTTTAAAGTAGTCTGCCCTACTGTGAAACCTTTAGCCCTCAAGCCCACGAGAGAAGATACTCCTGTAAGATCCACACATATGTGTTTTCTTCAAACTCATCCAAAAATTAAAACGTCAACCGGTCATATTTCATTTATATAAATAAAACATTAATTGTATAATTATTAGTAATGATTTTAATGTTTGTTCAGGCTAGAAAAAGAAATATAAATGAATTTAGATTAATTTCATTATTTTATATAAATAAATATTGTATTGTTTCTCATAAACTTTTCTTGTAATTGGAAATATGTTTAGTCGTTCTAAAAGGATAAAATTTTTAATTACACGCCGACTTATAAAACGAGTTTTTCTTTTTCTTTTTTCTTTTCTTTTTATATGAACATAAATGAACATATAATATAGCAATATAATAAAAAATAATTGAATATAGATGAATATAAATAAACTTAAATGAACGAACATAAACAAACGTAAACGAACATCATAAACGAACGTTCACGAACATAAATGAACGAACGAGACCATTGTTCATGTTCGTTCATTTAATTAAACGAACGATAATTTTTGTTCATGTTCGTTCATTTATTAAATAAACGAACATAAACGCACTTCCCTCCGAACAGTTCATGAACGATTCGTCGAACGTTCAATTCGTTTACAGCCACACTCATATTCATACAAAAGTATAATATTTGGTTTTTTCCTAATATTAAATTAAAAATTAGTTCATAATTTTAAACTGCCAAACAATTATTGTTACGCTCTTTCAAGTTTTGTGATTAAGCCTACGTGCCAAACATCAAATCAACAAATTATATAACCCTTTTTCAAGTTTATAAAAGTCGTTAGGCGGTACTAAATCGGTCGACTAGCGAGTAAAGATTAGTCAGCGATTAGCCGGAGACCCTAAATACGAATAGACGTCGTTAAATTAATATATATATATATATATATATATATATATATATATATATATATATATATATATATATATGACTAATATCATAAAAAAAATTAATAAATATCACTAATATCATAACAATATAGGTTAATATAATTAATATAATACTAATTATTTTCAAATAGTTTCCATTGAAATATATAATATTCTTCAAAAAGTTAAAAAAAAAATTACCAGCTTCTACAATTTCTCTCATTGTCCAGATGGGGATTAATTGTTAGATATTATCTAAAGAGAAAATTGCAAATTTAGCCAAATACACTAGTTACTTTGTGGAAAATAGCCAAAAAAACCAAAATTACATTTTTAACCACTAAAATCGTAGATGAGTATATCCATCTGAAATTTCGTCATGTCATCTGCGAACGTACAAGTGGCTAAAGCATAGATGTGCTTTATCCATTTGTACGTTCGCAGTTGGTTTTTTTCATCGTATATATACCCATTTTTCAACCTAAAATCGCAAATGGACTATGATTTCGTCTTCTTTTGAACTGCGATTTTGTGAATTTTTTTTTCGTTTTTTTTTATTTTTTTTTATTTTGACTATGAAATTGATAGGCTTTTTTTTGAACGAGGTGAAATTGATAGGTTTGACTACAAAACAACCTTATTATATATAAATTTTTTCAATAAATTATCATTTTTGCTGTTATTTTTTTGAAAATTTTGTTTAAAACATCTCTAAGGAAATCGTCCATGATATCATCCATGATAGCTCTAAGGAGATCGCAGAGAGAGTTTCTCCAAGAAAGAGAGTGAAAATGAAGAGAAAAAAAAATGTTTTTATACTAGATCCCACGAAATCGTGATTTTAAGGGCTATTTCTGTAATTTGAGTTTTTTTTACTATTTTCCACAAAATAATTAATGTATTTGATTAAATTTGTAATTTCCTCTTATATAAAAGTCGGGTAGCACCCAGGGACAACAAGATTAATCAAAGCCTTATCAAAAAATTTATAACACTCCTTTTTAATTTGACAAAACTGCAAATTTGGTCCTTGTGGTTTGCAAAAATCTTTGGATAGGGTCCAAAAGATTTCCAGCTTGCACAAAGGGTTCAAAATCAAGGTTGTTTTTGGTTTTTTGGTCCAAAAAAACATAAAAAGACGGTTATGCCCTTTTATTTTCCTTTTTGTATTTTTTTAATTATTAAAATACTATTTAAATTTAAAAATAAAAAGAAAAGAAAGTAATTATCCCCCACCCACTTACCTTTACTCTCTCTCTCTCTTTCTCTCTCTCTCTCTTTCTCTCTCTCTCTCTCTCTTTCTCACACACACACACACCACCCCTTCCACCCGAAGAACTTCTCATCCCAATCTTGTTTTCCATTGGCAACCTTGAAAACCTCCAAGATTTGATTTTAATCTCCATCAGACTCATCAGAAAAATCCCATGTAAGCTCGGGAGCTGCCGGAGACTCGTTGGAGTAAACAACGACCTCACCGAAGGAAACGACGGCCTCGCCGGAGTTTGGTTCAACATCCTAATTTCACCACAACCACTACAACCCCATATTTATACCCATCGTCAATGGAACCCTCCACCCCTCACACACTCACGCACATGATGAAAGAAGCACATCGACTCGCTTTCATCCTCAGTTCCCAATTAATATGCATCAACTCATCTTTCTCCTGCTCATCTTACCTTCCCAATTTCAAGATCAATTCCATCTCCCCAAGCTAGAGTACATAGAACAAACCTGATTTCCCAAACCCTATATGATAATACGATCGAAGTGTTCTTGGGTTTTTCCAGATTTCAGTTGATTCTGTGTTCGGATGATATTTGTGTTGGATTGTTGTGGGTTAAATATGTTAAACGATTTTTTGATTGAATTAGTATGTTAAATAATTCTGTTTTTGATTTGAGATGAAGTTTTGATGGAGCATCGATACTAATTTTGAAAGACTGGAGCTATTTTTTATAGTAATCAATGTTTACGCTTCATTTTTATTATGGATTCTGTGATGGGTTTGATGTTGGTATGTGTTCGAGTTCCTTGTGTGTGTGTGTATTTGGAGTTGTAGACGTGTTTATGTTTAGAGAGAGAGAGAGATATATATAGGAAAATATAAAAAATACAAAAAAGAAATTTAAATGGCAAAACAGTCAATTCAAGTGCCCTATGGACCAAAAATACAAAAATTTCCTAAGTTTAGGACTAAAACCCCAAAAAAAACCTTGATTTTGGACCTTTTATGCAAACCTGAAACCTTTTGGATTCTATCCAAAAAAATTTACAAACCACAAGGACCAAATTTGTAGTTTTATCTTTTAATTTTTATAGGAATACGAATGACGCTAGTGGCAGCCGTTAGGGACCAAAATGATATAACATCAGTAATTAGATCAAATGTGCAAAAATATGTGATAAACTAGATCTGCAGTTTAGCCAATAGTCGAGGGACGATTTTTGAGTAAAAAGGTTATTCTGATGACAAAGTCCCGATCCATGGTTTGGTTTTGGAGACTGGAGTAGTTTTAGATTCCATTGTTTTGTTTCTGGGAATTCTTCAAAGATGTCATCCGTCTTCTTCATACTATCACTTTCCATTGTCTCGTTTCTTCTCCCTTCGATCTCTTCCCACGAGTTTAAGCTAGATGGTAAGGTGTTGGTTCTTGATGAGTCCAACTTCGATGCCGCAATTTCATCCTTCGACTTCATCTTCGTTGATTTTTATGCCCCATGGTGTGGCCACTGCAAACGTCTTAGTCCTGAGGTAGGTCTTATTTGCATATTGCGTTTCTATATATTATGTGTGTTCAGATTTCAGCATCTTCTCTTATTTACTGAAAAGGGATTTGTAATTCGGTAGTAAATTACTGATAATAGGTTATCGTGTTTATGTGCTAATCCCCAGGTGATCTTACTCCTCACTTAGCAAGAGGTCCCTGGGATGAAAGGTCTTATCGATACTATGCTTATTGTTAAAAATAATGAATCAATTGAAGGTTGATGATGATCATGATGAACACTGATACATGAAGCCAAAAACTTGAGAAAATATTATGCACAA